GACATAGCAAAATCGTTTTGCATGCTGGAAAAACACGGTGACATGACCCCTGATAATTTTAATATATGCAGAGGTATGGTATATGAGACTTTATTCCAACCAGTGTTTCCCAATTGTCCATTAAGATTCACAAAAGGTTACAAAGTAGTCAAAAATTATCAGACTTTGCACCTCTCACGAGGTGATAAATCTAAGGAACTGTTATTTTGGACAAAACTGAATATTTAGAGAAAATGAACCATTTGTTGAGTGATAATAAAACTTATGAACCGCTCATTAAAAACCCCACTGACCAAGTCAACAGCCATTTTAATAAACACCTTAAAACGTTATTGAAAGGGATTGATGAATGATGTCTGTTAGCAACTCTACCATATCTACTGTATATGGGGTAATCAAGACCCATAAGCCAATATACCCAGCACGTCCCATTATTAGTTCAGTAGGCTCAGCAGCATATAATCTATCTAAATGGATGGTTAAACTTCTAACTAACATGGTTGGTAAGATCTCAAATGCACATATTAAAAATATTGTTGACCTCACTAAGAGGCTCCAGAAATTAAATGTCCCTCATGACTTTTCTTTAGTGAGCTTTGATGTCACAGTTCTGTTCACCAAAGTCCCTGTCCCTCAGTTGCTTTCGTATCTCGAAGAGGAACTAGAAAACTTCCCCATGCCCTTCCGCACGAAAACAATAATTGATAAATTTTCGTGTTACTGATTGTAAATTCGTGTTTGAAGGGAAATTCTATGCTCAAAAACAAGGCATGGCAATGGGAAATCCCATTATCCCCTTACTCAGCATCCTATATATGGAATTCTATGAGGCCAGACTTCTTAAAGACATTCTCCCAGATAAAGTTAGTTGGTTCAGATACGTAGATGTTCTTTGCCTGTGGCCTGAAGAGCACAATATTGATGAGTTTCTTCCCAGACTCAATTAATGTTTGTAAGTTCACCGCAGAACATGAAATAAATAACACTTTGCCATTCTTAGATGTTTTAATTATCGGGTCGATAGGAAATTAAAATTCACAATTTATAGGAAGCCCACCAGTGTGTCGTCATACATTCACTATTATTCCAATCACGAAACCAGAGTAAAAAGGAGTGTGGCTCTCACAATGTTCTTGAAAGCATTGCGCATCTGCAGTCCAGAGTACCTAGAAGACGAAATCAGCAAGATATTCAACACAGCCACAAAACTAAGATATCCTAAGCATTTTGTCGAGAAGGCACTAATGTCAGCAAAAAACAACTTTCTACAGGACTGAACCTAACGAAGTGATGGCCAGGGAAGATGTGCTAGTTTTACCATACAATGAGAATCTGGCTTGCCTGCGTGAGGCATTAAAAAAGATCAATATAAACCTTGCTTTCAAAAACACGGGGACAGTGAAACAAAGGCTGATTAAAAACACATCCTCCAACAAAGTTGGTGGGGTTTACAAGATCCCATGTACTCAGTGTCCTCTCTCATATATCGGTCAAACAGGTAAATTTCTGGAAACCAGAATTGCCCAGCATAAATACTCAGGACAAAGGCAGGAGTCGAATGCCATCTTTAACCAGGTTAGTGCATGTAATCACTCACCGGGGTGGGATGCTGCCCAGATTATAGTACCAAACAGTTCTGTCATGGAAAGAAACATAATTGAATCTTCCCTCTTGAAACATGAAAGGAATACAGTATACAATTCAAACTATGAGTTATACAAGCTCGATAATTATTTAGTAGAGTCCATTGTACACAATCTTACACAACAGTGCTATACAAAATCACAGGATTGTTTATTATGCCAGGTGGGTTGATGGATTGGTGACGCCCGTCCAGTGTCTACGTACTAAAACTTCACACCACGTCAGTTGCGATGGTTATATAACGCCTGTAGCTGTTAATGTACAAAACAGTGACGCTCACACAAGATAACGAGTTAACATAAGGGTATTAGTAGAATTTAGATAATAGAAATATTATCGGATAGGCATAAAAGTTCCCATGTATGGCATATTAACAGCCACTAAGAAAATAGTAGACAATATTTAGGAAGAGATACTTCTGAGTACATCGAAAGAACATTCGAGTACCCCAGAGCAGGACATTTAAACGGACAAAGAGCACATTGTATTCCTTTCTACCCCATATGGGTAGTAGGGGGGTAGGGTGGGGTTGGCACCGACCACTAACCCAATCTAAGGGTAACCGTGGCCGGTGACACCTAAGCTACTTTGAGACCTCTCTCCCTGTCTTGGTTGTTCTCTTGCAACATTGCACAGTTCCTGATGGCGCACTGAGAAGTGTGAAAGTACTTGAGCAAAAGATCCCCCCCCCCCCGTGGTTTGTCCTGCATAGTTAAGATCGCCCGTTTGCGATTGATATATATATATATAATATATATTATATATATTATATATATATATATATATTTATAATATATATATATAAAAATGTGTTATATCATATATATATATTATATATATATATATATATTTAATATATATATTTTATATTATATATAATATAGTCGTACCGATAGGCAGAACTTGCGATCTTGGCTTAAATAGCAACGCTCATCTTGCCATATGAAAAGTGAAAATTTGTGTATGAAATAATTTCGCCAAAATCATTCTGAACATAACGAGAAAAAAATATATTTCACTGTATTTGTTTAGTATTAAATTATTTTTAAACAAATCTAAAATATATATAGTTGGGTTAGGCTAAAATAAATTGTTCTTGTTATAATAAGGTTAGGTAAGTTTTCTAAGATTCTTTTGGTGCAAAATTTAAATTTTTTACATTAACATTAATGAAAAAATGTATCTTTAAACGTATAAGAGAAAATTTTAGAATGGACTTAATTTTAAATGGAGTCTTGCTAATTGACCAGTTTTACATATTCGGCACGATATATAAAAATATATATATATATATTTTTAATTTTATATATATATATATATATATATATATATATTATATACATATATCAAAACAACCACTGTGAGAGAAGAGAGAAATTTCAAGCTCTTTCGTGACTACTCACATTGTTAAGGAACAATAATGCATCAAGAGAAGGCATATAAAGGGTCTAGCCCACACTCACTATCACATTCCACAACAAAGCAACAACTGATGCGCGACTCATAAGAAAGAGAACATACAGCAGGTGCGCTGGCCAAACTAGTCAGGTCCTTCACACAACCCACAAACTATTCTACTCAAGAATTAAGAATTGTAAAATATATTATTTGTCCATTGTATTATTTTAAAATTTTTCCCAAATTTTATTAATTATAAATGAATTAATTTATATAAAAACCAAAAGGGAAAAATTCATATTATTGTCAAAACTGCTTTTTTAAACAAGTTTCTATAAATTATCCAAATCGCTTGTTGACATTTTGAGCCGTATTCTTGGCAAAATTTCAAACTTTAATGTTAAAAGCAACATAGAATTAGTTGATAATTAAGCTCCTTGACTGATTTAAATGTTTTTAAAACATGGTTGTTTTTATGTTACTTTCTTGTTTACGAAGTTCCTGTTGATGATTTTTTTAAGTTTCTTTTTTCTGAAGAACTCGTTAATTATGATTTACGATTGCCGTTCCTACTATCATTAAACTTATTAAGCATAGTATATATATATTTATATATATATATATTTATATATATAAAATATATATATATAATATATAAAATATAATATATTATATATATATAATAACAAACACTGTGAAATAATAGTGAAACTCCAGCGATTTCGTGATTTCTCACATTATCTAGGAACTATCAAGGAACACATTTCCCTTTGATAATGTGAGAAGTCACGGAAAGCGCTGGGAATTTCACTATCCTTTCACAGGGGTTTGTTTGCATTTTTCTGATATCACCTGTTTACTGTGATCTTTTTGTATATATATATATGCAAAAAGGGTCACAGTAAACAGGTGATTTCAGAATATGCAAAACAACCACTCTAAAAGAATAGAGAAATTCCAGCGCTTTCGTAACTACTCACATTATCAAGGAACTAGGGAAAGGACCTATCCAAGTTGGGTCGGCGGCGTCAGGTTTTAACCGTTGTGGGATCTGATAGTGAGGTGCTGGCCAGACCCTTATATAGCTTCCTTGGATTCTTTACTTTCATAGTTCCTTGATAATGTGAGTAGTCACGAAAGCGCTTGGAATTTCTCTATTCTTTCAGAGTGGTTGTTTTGCATATATATATATTATATATATATTATTTCTATATATATAAAATATATATATATTATATATATATATATATATATATTTATATATATATATATAATATAATTGTTCTTCCAGTCTTCCTCAAACTCCCTACATAATTAATTACTCATCTTTTTCCTTGATAATCCTTCTGAAACCCAATTAAATTTGTGTTTCTTTACCATTTGTTATAAAACGTTCCATAGCCTTAAGACATCGAGTCAGTTTGAAACTACTTAAGAAATCACAAATACCTTAGGATATGAATCACTTTACAATATTAATTCACACTTAAAATTTATTTTCTCTCTCTTCTTTTGTATTAATTTCATACTGAAAATTGTACTATTGTTCATTTAGCCACTTCACTTTTTGTACATTTAACGACTCCTACTTAATAACCTGTGTCTGTTTTTTAGTAGTCTGTAAGCATTAGGGTTAATTTCCTTAAAGGGACCGCATGTTAGGGGACCTCGTTTTATACCTAACAATAAAGTATCAAGTTAAACTACATATTGTTTACTGCTGTAAATATATAAATTTGTATGGTAATACACTGTATTGTACTGACGTGCTTGACCATGTGTGAGGGTGTGGCTTCCATATTAGTGCTGCATACTCTAATATGAGCCTGACGTACACGGTGTAGTGTCGTACACCATTACTAAGTGTGTGTGTGTGTGTGTGTGTGTGTGTGTGTGAAGGTGGGTAGAAGCCTGAGCAGTGAACTTTAATCATTAATATATATCTTCAATGTTTACAGTCACATATAACCTGGAGTTCGCCGACTACGAATAACATCGCCATCGGATTCAATAACATGTAAGAACATATTTTTTAATTCGCGTTCTAAGTAGACCAAAAAATTTTCTTACAAAAGAAACTCGCAATTTCTAGTTGCCTGGATTCACAAGCTTCACAGTGAATGAATTTCAACCTTTTCCCTGTGTTTCGTTACCGTTCCTTTACACTACTTATTCACATCAATACAAAGTTTTCCTATAAAGCTTTCCTCCTGTATGCTGATGCTTGAACCAAATTCTCCAAGATATCTACTGTCACATTTGACCATACCTGGGTCGGTTTAACAGAAGTGTGTATTTCTTAGAGCATACAATAATGTGATCCTTTATTGACAACGTTTCGCCCACGCAGTGGGCTTTATCAAATCACAAACAGATCTACCTGGGTGAAACACACGTGAGTATTTATAGGATGAGAATGCTGGGTCAGGTGGACAATGCTGCATGTGACAATCGTCCGAGTAGGGTGATAGAGTCTAGACCTTGGGTAGCTTTAAAAAGAGACTGGATAAGTATATGAGTAGATCTTCTGCAGTGTTCCTCCATTCTTATATTCTTATGTGGGATAGTGATGAAGAAGTTTCTTGGCAAGGGGTTCAGCTATGTTGTAGAAGTCGTTGTTCTGGTTGAAGTTGTTGGATGCACAGATAAGTGATGATTCCATGATTCTTCGGTATTGAGTGTTGTCTTCTCTGGCGATAAGTTTTGCGTTTCTATAGTTAATTAAATGGTTGTGTGAATTTCGGTGTTCAACACAGGCATTCCTTTGATTGTTAGATCTGCGTGCGTACTGGAGTTCTGAAATACGTGTTTGGAGGTTTCTGGATGTTTCCCCCATATATAATTTGCTGCAGTCATTACAAGGGATTGTGTATACCCTTGCAAAGGATTGAAGCTTGTCCTGTCTATTACTGGTAATGTCCTTGATGGTGGTGGATGTGGAGGTAGATACTTGGAATAAGGTTCTGGAAAAGATGATGGAAACGTGTTTGCAATGGAGTTGGTGGGGAGGACTATGTATCTCTTCACGGCAGTATCTTCTCTGGATGTTTAGTGCCTGTCGTCTGCAGTCTCTAATGAAGTGGCGAGGTTAGTGAAGTTTAGAAAAGACTTGTTCAGTAAAAGAGTATTGTTCCTCAAGGAACTCACTGCTGCAGATTCTGAGTGCACGCAAGAAAAAATCCTATAATTACACCACGTTTAGTTTTAGTGTCGTGGTGAGAATAGAACAGGAGTAGATCGTGTTGGTTGGAAGGTTCTCCATAGACTTTAAAACGGAGTTCATGGTCAGCTTTGCAGAGAAGAACATTGAGGAAAGGAAGACTGTTGTCGACTTCTTCTACTGTGAACTGGATAGAGGGCTCGACCTGGTTGAGCTTGTGTTGGAGAGTTTGAACTTTGAAGCGTCTGGGAGTTATGATGAGAATGTCAACATAACGGAGCCAGGTGACAGAAGAGGGAATAATAGTGGAGAATCACTCGGTTTCCAGATGTTCCATGTATAGGTTCGGCAGGACGGCATTAAGTGGCGAACCCATGGGTAGTCCGAAAGTCTGCTGAAAGAGGTGATTTTCGAAAGAGAAACACGTAAAGCCATAACATAATTCGACAAGGTCGATGAAATCGCTGGCTGGAATAGGAAGATCAAGGGAATCGTCAATTTTCCTGCGTAAGAGATCGATGGCTTGTGTAGTAGGTACTCAAGGTTCTAGACTCTATTACCCTACTCAGAAGATTGTCACATGCAACATTCTCCACCTGACCCATCAGTCTCATTCTATAAATATTAACGTTGTCAATAAAGGATCACTTTATACTGCTTAAGTGTATATTTCCATATTCGTCATCTCAAGCTTCATTCCCGTTTTGTTACTGATTGTTTCATGAGCGCTACAGCTTCAGATAATGCTGCTAGAGGTAAATAGGTCTCCCAGATTATGATGTAACCACTAACGAGTCGGTGCACTAGCCAGTTGCGAGATGAGTGTAGCCCGCAGTTTATCGATCTACTTTTGGAAGGTTTCCCCACATCCACAGAGTTAGAGACAGGTTAGATAAAGTTTGTCATGAAACAGGACAAGTGTTTCCTGAAGCGAGATTTTGTCATGATGACACGCAGCTGGAGGTCTTGGTAACCTGACCTAGGCCTTCCATTCTACCCCTTTAAAAATTATGGTTATAACAACAGTCTGGCACTGGAGTCTACGTGGTCGCTGCGATAGTATATGCAGGAAGGATGGCAATAAGCCTGGAGCAGTGCATAAATATGCATGTAGCAAGGATATGATCGGTGCTTACGTAATTGTTGTTGTATACTAGCCTCTGGATGCAACTTCGCAACAATTCCAGGAACAGCTATTGAAAATAGACCACACTCTGGAAAATCTTCCAGCTATTGCCCCAAACATCTTGCTCCTTGGGGATTTCAACCTAAGGCACCAAAACTGGAGGTATGTAGAAAATAATGCTGTAGTACTATTTGCTACATTATTTGCCTGTTCCAACTACTGGACCACTATGACAAGGTCCTGGATGCTCTAGAAGAAAAAAAAACGCAGATGTAGTATACACAAACTTTGCAAAAGCCTTTGACAAGTGTGATCATGGTGTAATAGCGCGCATAATGCGTGATAAATGAATAACAGGAAAAGTAGGTAGATGGATCTATAATTTCCTAACAAATAGAACACAAAGAGTTGTAGTGAACAGAGTAAAGTCTGAGGCAGATACTGTGAAAAGCTCAGTTCCACAAGGCAAAGTACTCGCTCCAATGCTGTTCCTTATCCTTATATCTGACATAGACAGGGATGTAAGCCACAGCACCGTGTCTTCCTTTGCAAATGGAACCCGAATTTGCATGACAGTATCCTCCATTGAAGACACTGCAAGACTCCAGGCAAACATCAACCAAATCTTTTAATGGCCGCAGAAAACAATATGAAGTTCAATGATGAGAAATTTCAATTACTCCGATATGGAAAACGTGAGGAAATTAAAACTATATCGGAGTATAAAACAAATTCCAGTCACACAAAAGAGCAAAATACTAATGTAAGTACCCTGGGAATGTTAATGTCAGAGGATCTCATTTTCGAAGACCACAACATTGTATCAATTGCATCTGCTAGAAAAATGACAGGATGGATAATGAGGACCTTCAAAACTTGGGATGCAAAGCCAATGATGACACTCTTCAGGTCGTTTGTTCTATATAGGCTGGATATTACTGCCACTCAACAGCACCTTTCAAGGCAGGTGAAACGCTAACCTAGAAAATGTACAAAGAGCCTTCACAGCATACATAACAGCGATAAAACACATCAGTTAATGGGAACGCTTGAAGTTCCTCAACCTGTGCTCGCTAGAATGCATTCGAGAGGTACATGATTATATTCACTTGGAAAACCCTAGAGGGATTAGTAGCAAACTTGAACATGAAAATCACTCTCTATGAAAGCAAAAGACTCGGCACACGATGCAACATTCCACCAGTAAAAAGCAGGGTTGCCACGAGTACATTGAGAGACAACAACATTCCCCCAATAAAAAGCAGGGGCGCCATTAGCACAACAAGAGACAACAAAGTGTTAGGGGCCAAAGACTGTTCAACTGCCTCCTAGCATAAATAAGGGGGATTTCCAAAAGACCTCTGGCTGTCTTCAAGAAGGCACAGGACAGGCACCTAAAGTCAGTACCTGATCAGCTGAGCTGTGGTTCGTATGCTGGGTTGCGTGCTACCAACAGCAACAGCCTGGTTCAACAGGCCCTGATCCACCATGAGTCTTGGTCACAGACCGGGCCGCGGGAGCGATGACCCCCGAAACTCTCTCCAGGTATACTCCAGGTATACAAGTTATTCAAAACTCAAGATATCATGTAAGCCCTTCCAGCCACTTCAGCACAAATGATACTCTTGTCTTGGTTTCCTGGTGTTCAGAGGTGGGTTGTATGTCACTGCTATCATCAGCTTTGGACCCTCAGTGTAAAGTGTTTCTCTCTGTCCATTCCTCCCATTTCTTCAAAACTCCACTGGTTTTTGATGAGCAGTGCCACTTCTCCTCAGTTCTCTCCTCAGGATTTGATATCCAGTTCGAAAGATCAAGTTTGTTATCATCCCTGAAAGTTTTGTCTCTGTTAGTGTCATGTCATGGAATGCATCAATGATTCGTTCTTGCCACTGGAGTACAGTACATTGGTGTTCCATGCCTTGTCATTGGTGTATCGTACCTTTACCTTCCTTTCCAGTACTGTATTTTGAGAGGTGGAAGAGGATGGTGCAGGCTGGGGGTATTGGAGGCAGGGCAGAATATTATGGGAGGCTTCTGTGATGGTGAAATTAGTGCTTGGGGAGGGAGGGGGCTGTAGAGTGGTTTGTTTAATGTTATGGTGTTCGGTTGGTATGTGGTGATAGGGGTTGAGAGGGTTCTGTAAGTGTTCATGTTTGGTGTTCCCCCACATGCTGAGCTTCCCTGTCTGTCATTGCCTGCCCTCTCTTTCTTTCCTTCTACTGTTGTCTTCTTACTCTCACTCGTTGTTGTACCCCCTCTTTTTGTGTTTTGTCTCGATCAAGGTACACTCAATGATATTCTCAGAAGTTCTTTACCATTGGCATTTGTTGTAGTATCCTGTTCCATACCACTTCTGTCTTGAATGTCAGTTTGATTGGTCCATTTTTTTGCCCTCTAATAAACCCAAGTCTGAGAAAAATTGCTACCTGACTCATATCCTTCTCTCCTGTTATTGCGATGATGCTTTTAATCCCTTTTTCTCCCAATGCTTTCTTTCATCTATTTTTTCCTTTCAGCCTTCTGATGCTTATGAATAATTATTGACCTCTCCATCTCTATTTCTTTTCCCTCCTTATCTCTGAATCTGATTAAAAATCTCCTCTGTTGTTTCCTTAATCATGTCACAGACACCCTGATGGCCAAAGGACTTATCACCTCTGTTCCCTCCTTCTAGCCCCTTGCTATCTGTTGATTTTCCCATATCAGTCACCATGCTCTTTTGGACCTCCTC